CATCCCCCTGATTTATCAGATGGCACATCAGCAGAGGATATCTCCCACAGAGATAAGGATCACCACCCCTCCCACATTTTAACAGATGGTGATAGAATACACATTTTTGCATTGTACCCCAGGACATAATCCACCCCTTATTCTATTACCATCTACATCATACCCAAACCAATACCCTCTTACAGATATATATAATGCAAAATGAAACCTTACATACAATTCTTACTTAAAATTAGGTCTCCTTGCGGTACACAATGGTTTCCCCATCTTTCTGCATTACCCACCAAGTGCAACCAGGTCCTTGAGCAAAAACAATCCCACAGATGGGTTTGCCTTTGCCTGTGGTGGGATTCATCCAAACAGTCTTTCCTAAAATACCTTTCATGTGTACCACAGGGACTTTGTCCCCATCCACTGTGTTCAGGGATTCAGAGTGGGCAGGACCGGCTCGATTGATGGACCCTTGGGTGTTAACCATCCAGGTGGCTTTGGCCAGGTTCATTTCCCAATTTCTGAAGGTTCCACCACCAAGTGCTTTCAAAGTAGTCTTAAGGAGTCCATTACACCGTTCAACTTTCCCGGCAGCTGGCGCATGGTAAGGGATATGATATATCCATTCAATACCATGTTGTTTGGCCCAGGTGTTGATAAGGCCGTTCTTGAAATGGGTTCCGTTGTCTGATTCAATTCTTTTAGGGGTACCATGCCTCCAAAGGACTTGTTTTTCTAGGCCCAAGATGGTGTTCTGGGCAGTAGCATGAGGCACAGGGTAGGTTTCTAACCATTCTGTAGTTGCTTCCACCATGGTCAGTACGTAGGGCTTGCCCTGGCAGGTTTGGGGAAGGGTGATGTAGTCAATTTGCCAGGCTTCCCCATACCTGTACTTCGACCATCGTTCACCATACCACAGAGGCTTCACCCGCTTGGCCTGTTTGATTGCGGCACAGGTCTCGCAGTCGTGGATGACCTGTGAGATGCTGTCCATGGTAAGGTCCACCCCTCGGTCACGGGCCCATCGGTACGTTGCATCTCTCCCCTGATGACCAGAGGCATCATGGGCCCAATGAGCTAGGAATGATTCTCCCTTGTGCTGCCAGTCTAGATCCACCTGTGATACTTTCACTTTGGCAGCTCGGTCCACCTGCTCGTTGTTGTGATGTTCTTCATTAGCCCGGCTTTTGGGTACATGTGCATCCACGTGTCGAACCTTTATGGTCAATTTCTCTACTCGGGCAGCAATGTCCTGCCAAATCTCAGCTGCCCATATGGGTTTCCCTCTGCGCTGCCAGTTGGCCTTTTTCCAGCGATCCAGCCAACCCCACAGAGCATTAGCTACCATCCATGAGTCAGTGTAGAGATAGAGCCTTGGCCACTTTTCTTGTTCAGCAATATCCAAAGCCAACTGGACGGCTTTTAGCTCTGCGACCTGACTCGATCCACCTTGTCCCTCGGTAGCTTGTGCAACTTGTCGTGTGGGGCTCCATACTGCAGCTTTCCATTTCCAGTTAGTGCCTACAATTCGGCAGGAACCATCAGTGAAGAGGGCATATTGTCTTTCAGTCTCCGGTAGCTCATTATATGGTGGGGCTTCCTCAGCATGTGCCACTTGCTCCTCTTCTTCTTCAGAAGTCCATCCAAAAGTCTCACCTTCAGGCCAGTTTGTAATTATTTCCAGAATCCCAGGGCGATTTGGATTCCCGATACGAGAGCACTGAGTGATGAGAGCAATCCACTTGCTCCATGTGGTGTCAGTGGCATGATGTGTGGAAGGCACCTTTCCCTTGAACATCCAGCCCAGCACTGG